AAAATATAGTTTTTTAGTTATTTTATTAATTAATATGTTAAATTTGTTCATAAATATATATTTTTAATTCCTAAATTTATAAGTTTAGATATTACAAATGTGCATATATTATAAGTTTATGGATTAAAAATGTATATATTTGAATAGATTTAATAAATTAACAGGAAAAAATTTTAAAAATTTATTTTTGATAATTTTAACACTAAAAAATAAAAAATAATAATTTATAAATTAAAAATATTTAAAATTTAAAATTTAATAACTAAAAAATTAGCATGTAACCAACCAAACCATTTTTAAGGAAACTTGCATTTGTTTATGCACCGTACAACGTATCAAAATTAGGCGGAATCCCAAGTCCACCCCTCGTATAGGGGTCAGTACAAATTTACTCTTAAAATATAAGATAAATTATTTTTTTAAATTATAAATTAAAATAAATTATTTATTTTTTAATATGATGTTAATTTTTTATTAAATATAAAAAGTTAATAATTTAACAAAATTCTAATTAAATCTTATAAAATTTATTAATTTTCTTTACAATACTTTCCCAATTACTTTCTCACAATAAAGACTTTCCTAATGAAAATGAACTTCTAACCTAACAGCCGCTTACATTTTGAGTCCTTAATGGTGTGTTTGAAACTTTGAATTGGGGAAGCGGGAGGGGAGGGGAAGGGATGGAGATTGGAGAATGAAGGAAAGATGTCTTTTTCTCATATTTGAATTACTTATTTTAATGGAGAACAAGGGGAATGGAGCTCCCACCACTTCTTTATTTTTTATCTTTTTAAATCAGGAGGGTTGTAAGAAATTGACTTCACATAATTAACTTTTTTTTAAAAAAATTTAAAATAAATATATAAAAATATTTTATCTTAATTATTTTTTAATTAATAATTTTTAAATATTTTATTTTATTTTAAAAAAAATTAATTAATTTAATATTTATATTTATTTAATTTTTTTAAAAAATAAATATATAAAAATATTTTATTTTAATTATTTTTTAATTAATAATTTTTAAATATTTTATTTTATTTTAAAAAAAATTTATTTAATTAAATAAAAATATCATTCTTTTTTTTTTTTTTCACTTTTATCCATTCAAACAAAATTAATATTAACTCTTTCCTTTCTTTCACTTCTCCTTCCTGTTTTTTCTTCTTCCCCTGTCCCTTCTCTTTACGAATTTGTGTCCAAAACAAATACGAAAAAGTCAGAAACTC